TGACAACTAGAGAATTTTGATCCGCTGAGAACTAGAGGAAGGGTCAGAACTCGGAGGATGCTGCGTCAATTCTGAAAGAGTGACTTGATTTTGTTTCGAAAGAATACTACTTCCCGAACGGCATGGTGGTAAAATTATCAACTTCAGCCGATCGAGTGTATTCTCCTCCTTCTAGATATATTTTTATTCATGAGGCAGCCTTGAAAGTTGACCTACGATTTCCACCCGGCTCGAGTTTATCGAATTTATGAAAACATTCAAAATTTGCGTTGTTCAGCTGACGTGCCAGCTGGTGGCAGTCATTATCAGGTTAACTGTTTTTTTTAAGTCACGGGATGATGTTAACACCGGTAATTTTAGCGTGGTTATGTGGGTTCTTTAGTGACACGCATGATCGAGTGATTTTTAAGCACAAGGCTTTCGATTTTTGTCTACAAAAACCAATAAGGCAATGGTCCGTAAAATTCTTATTTGCGAAGAACGATAGGGGGCTCATTGCGATGCGAGGAAGGTTACAACAGGTGTTCGTCTCTCTTTAGACTACTGAGGAGGAAATATTGTGGATGCTAGGAGTTCCAATTTCTCAAAGCCAAATTTAGACCCATATAAACTTCCCCCATTTTATTTATCTGGAAGAAGAGAAGCCTGGGTCAAATCGATAATATGATTATACAATAGCAGAAGATAAAAGAAACTTATAAAGCCCCCGATCTCTAAGAGTCCAGTACATTCATGAGACAACACATTCTTAGGAAATGAATAGTTAAATAACTAGATATGGAATTCGGCTATTATTTAACCCTCTTATGTTGTTTATGAGGGAGTACTTTGCAGTCGTTATTCATTGCGAGCCTCTTTAAGAATGCCACAGAGGCTGGCTCAAAAGGTCTCTTCCTAGATTTATTCAATGTTATAGTCGTTGATCGCTCGGGGTGGAATGAAAGTTTGGCCTTGAATAATGATTCCTCTTCTGACTCTTGCCCCCTTGCGTTCTGTTTGAAAGAAAGGATAGGCTCTCGATTAAAACCGCCTTTCGAATCTTAAACCTAACCATAGCAGCAGTTGACCCTCAATGCCCATTCATTTTCTGTTTTTTTCAGTTATTACAGATGTTACAATACATGACAATTTCTTAATACCACTAAATTTTTCAAATCCTTCACATTTTTAATCTAATACACTTGAAATACATCCCACCAAATGCTCCTGGACAGAGAGGGCCGCATGGGATCAGCAAATATAGAAGATTGCCATCCACACGACAGATGTCAAGTGAAATCTCTCATTATTCAAAATTCTCCTCTTCCGGCCCTTAGCCTTGCCTTCCACTACACTCCCAGTAGACCGCTATGCCAAAATAAATTTTGAATAAAGCTAAAATAACGTAAACGTACTGCAGAAAATTCAATAAAGCAAAGTATTTATGAGAGCTCAAAACCGGCAGCAGGTAACATGAATGTTTGGTGCACCTTCTTGTAAGCAAAGATACAGACGCCCAACGGCTATCTGGGATTTAACAATTTCAAATTATTTATTCTTATTTAAGCCATTTTTATTTATAGGTCGAATTTTTGTTTGGGGAGATTGCAATTATTTATATATTCAAAATATACCAAATAATGTAGAGTAGTTGGCTATGCTTTTTGTAATGAGTAATATTTATTTACTTTTGTAGTTGAAGAAAAATATATACTATTGAAAATGAATGTCATCTTTATATAATCCAATTAGCATATCATATCTAAATATTATACAATATTTAGTTGGGTTATTTGTATACATAGCACTTAAAACAATGATTTTAGTTATATCACACTGTGAACTCTTTTATTTAGGGAATAATGTAGAGGCTGCGGAGTTTGGTGAGTTCCCGAGAGAGAGAAGGAAGAGAGCGTGAGAGAGCGTGGGATCTGGTGTTCCATGGACTAACCCTTTCTCTCTTCCATTTTCCTCGCCCTCACGAGCTTCAACCTTCATTTTTCCTTCAGCGCGAGCTCCAGTGAGATTGTTTAATGCTATTAACTGGGAGAAAATATTTCATTCGGATCCCGCACGTCCGGATGGCCAATCACCTGGCATCACGTCATCATACACCTCATTGACAGGCGATGTGGCGATTGATGATTGGTCGTCCGGACATGCGGACGCCCGAACGGCAGATTGCTCAAACAATTGATGATTAAACCACTGTTAGAAGTTTTTCGGGTATATTTAGAAGGTTAGATGAATGATGAATCTAGCAACTCTATAATTGAATCAAGCGTCTCGACAAGACGAATCCAACGAGCCCAAGTTTGCTCAATTCAGATATCGTTCAGGCGCTCAAATGTCCATCAAACGTCGCTTTATCGAAGGAAGCCCTCTGGACCGTCTGATCAAAGTGGTTCATATTCCTCATTCATTGCACCCAGAACACTATAAATAGAGCCCCACCCCTCTCATGAGAAGGGGCTAGAGGCTTGAGAGAGAATTTAAAACTTTGAGAAGGAGTCGAAAGCCCACCCCCCCCCCTGCCACCGTCGATCGCCGTCAAATGTCGTCGACCACTGCCGTCCTCCGTCGACCACCGCCAACCACCGTCAACAGTCGTTGACCACCGCCAAACGCAGTCAACCATCACCAACCGCCTCTGATTGCTGACGATTACTGCTAACCTTCGTCGACAACCACAGACAACTGTCGAGCACTATTGTTGTCATCAATCACCACTGATAGTCGTCAATCACCGTTGATCGACATCGATCACCACCAATCACCGTCGATCACCATCGACCAGAAACCGTCAGTCAACGTTGTAACTTTGAAAACCTAGTAACACGTTCCCTGTGTGAGACAATGAGTCTTTATAATCATCAACCCATAGTGGATTTTTACAACTGGGTCAGTCATCGTGGTTTTTTGCCTTTAGAGGATTTTTCATGTAAAAAGTTCTTGTGTCCTTACTGATTATTTTCTTTTAATGAGTGTATGTTGAAATCTTATGCAATGTTAAAATGATAATACATTACTATACTGCCACGAATTTTCTAGCATGTATCAGCAGTAAGTTGAGAAACATAGCTTTACAAACCTTGTAACAATAAGCTAGGAAAACACCTAAACTTTTCACATTTGTCTGACTAATTGCTCGATCTCATAAGCAAATACCCACAAAAGTAGAGCTATCAAAAAAGCTTGTCGTTCGTGAATAGCTTATGCCCGACACATTACATAGCTCATGTTGATTCATTCACTAAGAAAATAATTCGAACACATATATTTCTTTTTACTTGATTTATAAACATGCAGAATACAAACAAAAGTTTGTTCGCTCGTGTTTGACATGTTTTAGTTCAAAATATTTAAATAATTAAAAAATAATATTTATTTATATCATTTTATATTAATTTTCTATATGTATTAAAATATACTAAATTTTATTATTTTTAAAAATTATTTGGTTAGTATAATTATAAAAATATAAGTTAAAGTGTTGGATATGTAAATAAATAGGATTTGGGTGGTATACATGTAAATGTTTTTAAAATTGTGATTCTTTTTTTAATCACTGGTTTCTCTTAGTTAAGATTTATATATGTAAATAAATATGAGTTGGACGATATGTATTTAAATATCATGAGATTTTCCCACTTTTTCTGATGTGATATACATAGGAAATGATTAGAGGTGTAAACGAACAGAGCTTATGTTCGTGTTCGGTTCGTTTGAAATTTAATTTGTTTGAAATAAACTCATGTTTGAAATTGTTCGTGAAGTCACTGTTCATGTTCGTTTCTTTACGAATGAGCCGAACACAAGTTATTCGTGAACGACGAGCCAGATTGACATCCTTAATATTAATATATATAAATAATATATTATATAAATTATAACTAATATTATATAAATATAGAATATCTATATTAGTATATTACTAATATAATATATTAATATATTATTATTATTATTAATTTATTATATATTATAATTTATAAA